TGGGAATTGGTGACCCCCTGAGCAGTAAGAAAGGACAACTGAGTAACAAATGCTGTCGGCGGCCTCCAAAACCTGTCTCTGGCTGTGCAGTTCTGCCTTTGGTGACTGAGAAATTGCTCGAATATTCATACTCTTTGACATTTCAGTAAGACTTCTTCCATACCCACCCAGGGGAGCAGACAAATGTAATGTGAGGGCAGCGACATCGTAGCTGGAATTGGCTTGTGAAATAAAGAATGGCAAATGACTCCAGAGAAATTTGATTTTTGGTCAACGGCCAACACTTGTAAAACACACGCCAGAAAAAGAAAGCACAGAACAGGTTAAATACACAAAGCTGGCAATCTGCGGGAAAGAGACACCATCTATTCGGTTATTTTTATTTCTAAATGACTAATCCATTTTTTCCCCTCCCTTTGTCATTATCTGAAGCAACAGAAACGGCATTTCATAATGCGGTTCCTTGAAAATTAATGTATTTTGCGCAAGCCAATTATAATCATCACTGCCTTCCATTTTTAATATCAATAATAACAAACGGAATGGAAAGGACGTGGCCATTTTTAAGTTAGGAGGAAGCAGACAGGGAGGAGGTGGAGGGGACACACACACATACACAGACACAAACACACACAAACACAAAGAGAGACACACACATAACCTAGATACACACTGAGGGCATATTGGGTCTCTATAATCTAAAGAAAGTTTATGGATGAAATTAAATGCAGATAGTCCTTGACGTACAACAGTTGTGTGAAAAATTTCTCACTTAGCAACACTTTTTTCAATGCTTCGAACGGTCATTAAACATATTGTCGTAAGTTGAGGACTATCCGTAAAATAAAATTAGTTTACCAGGTCCTGTTTCTTGTCTGGCTGACCTGTTAAGATTGACATTGCCCTCTTCTTTTTACTACCTGGGAAATTACAGGGGGGGGTCTCTTCTGAAATATTTCCTATCCCCCTCCTTCCTTTTGTAGACTGAAAAACCTTTTACACACCGGCTCCCAAGGTCATTCACACAGACACACAACCTATATTCATCAACCGTTTTTAGCAATAGCTTCTGTGGAACGTTTCAAGAATTTGTGAGAGGAGAGAGAGAGAGAGAGAGAGAGAAAAGACAGAGAGAAGAAAGAGAGGAGAGAGAGAAAAGAGAGAAAGGCAGAGAGAGGAGAGAGAGAGAAAAGACAGAGAAGGAAGAGAGAGGGATAGGAGAGAGGGAGAGAGAGGGAAGGAGGGAGGGAGAGAGAGAAGAGAGAGAGAAAAGACAGAAGGGAGAGAGAGGGATAGAAGAGAGAGAGAGGCAGAGAGAGAGAGAGAGACTGAGTCTTTACATAACTGGATGAAATAACTAATGCAGGCAGAAGGCAGGAATAATATTTTTTTTAAAAAAAAATCTTGATTGAAATGAGCTAAAAATAACAGAAGGGAATTATTAGGGATGAGCACAAAGATCAAATGCTCGGCACAAGCACGGAAGGAATATCTGCCTTGACAAGGGGGCTTATTGAAATGGTAGTTAATTGCCAGGCGGATGTGAGTCAGCAGAACGAAAGCAGCTGGGGAGTGGAAGGACGGCATTACGAATCCCAGGAAGTCGTCAACTGGCAATCTATTCTGGTTTTTGGTTAGCCTCTGGCTGGACTCTTGCGCCTGGTTAGGGCGCCCGAGGAGGGTCAGAGAAATTGGAAGGAGTTCAGAGAAGGGCAAGGAAGGAGACCGAAAGCTCCTTTGAAGAAAGATGGAAGCAGGGGGACCGCTACAGGCTTTCACGTCTATTCTAAAGCTCCAGACGAGGAGTCGGAGAATCCTACAGCTGGAAGGGACGACAACGACTGCGGAGTCCTTGGTGCTCTCTAAGCTCGGTGCTTTTCTTGCAGACATTTCATGACCCAGCTAGGTAACATCACCAGTGCTGGGAGGAATGGAAGGAGGAGGAGAAGGAGGAGGACTGTGAAGTCCTTGGTGCTTTCTGAGCTTGGTGGTTTTCTTGCAGACATTTCATGACCCAACTAGGTAACGTCATCAGTGCTACGAGGGATGGAAGGAGGAGGAGCAGGAGGAGGACTAAGGGGTCCTTGGTGCTCTCTGAGCTTGGCTCACTAGCACTGGTGATGTCACCTAGCAGGGTCACGAAACGTCTGCTAGAAAACAGCAACCCAGGCCCTAGTGACCAAGTCTACTTGAAGATGTCTTAAAGGCTTCTCCCCCCCCCACAAACTGGGGGCTAAAGGCTCTAGAGGACATTTCTGGATTTTTGTGGTCAGATCCCCCTTTCCCTCTCCAGGGGCTTCCCCCGCAGACCCAGGGCCACTCCAAACTCGAGCGTCCGGGCAAAGAGTCAAGGGCACAAGAGCGGATCCTCTCCGCCCTCCTTAGTGACTAATTGAGGCCAGCTTCCTTTGGCCAAGAGTTGGCTTAAGTCTGGCTTGGGCCAATTTTCAATTTCCAGCCGGGGGAAAAAAATGCAAATGACCGATCTTCCTGTTTGGCTCTAAGGAGATAAGTAGGACCTATTAACCTCCCGTGTTATTTCCAACTTCATTATCGGCGCTGACACGGGGAAAAAGCCAGCGGTGACGGCTGCTTGGGCTGCACCACATGCAAATTGCCTTCTCAAAGGAAATTACTTCACTGGGCAGGAAGGTTATTAATCTAAATTTCTCCCCGAGTCAAATTGGGGCTTAGAATAAATACAGAACAGGTGGCCATCCCGGGGGGGGGGGGGGGCGTCTGTCATACCCACAAGATATGATCTTAATCCCTATTCCAGGGGGAAAAAAATCTGATTTTTTTTCTCCCTTCCGGAAGGGGATTCCGGAGGACCCCCCCCCCTCGCAAGCCACCGTGATCAACCATGGGAAAATTTAAGCCCCCGGTCTCGTGTAAAGGTAGTTCTCGACTTACGACCGCAGTTGAGTTGGAAATTTCTGCTACTATGGGGGGATTTAAATGAAGCCCCCAGCCCCAAATACCAAGACAGGTGTCCCTGCTGGAATAAAAGGCCTGTGGACAGAGTTAATCCGCAGCGTTTTTCAGAGCTGAAAGGCACCCAGATGGAGAGAGAGAGAGAGAGAGAAAGATCCTTTGCAACCTTTTAAATCTCCGAGGCCTTTTTTTGTCATTTGGGACCCAGCGAGGTGTGAAAATGTTCATGAAGGGAGCGATCTATTTTTTTTGCTTTGTTTTTTGGCCAGAAATCCCACCATTTAAAATGTAGCCCATGTCGTCGCCCAATTCTCTCCCTGGCATTTAGGACGAGAATCTTCTCCTGCAACGTGGTTTTCCATGGCTAAAAATTTTATATTTTGGGAGGGGGGGGGAGACTGACTGATGGCCCAAGCAGGGCTTCTGGGGGCAAAAAAGGCCTTGTGCAAAAGCTCCGCTTCCTTTTGCAGATCACAGAGCTGGAAGGGACCCTGGAGGTCTTCTAGACCAACCCCCTGCCCAAGCAGGAAACCTTATGCCATTCAAGACAAATGGCTGTCTGATTTCTTCTTGGAAACCTACAGTGGTGGAGCAGCTTCTGGAGGCAAAGCTTCCACTAATTCATTTTTTCTCACAATCGGGAAATTTCTCCTTAAATTCTAAGTTAGATCTCTCCTTGACCATTTTCCATTGCTTCTTGCCCTGCCTTTGGGTACTTTGGAAAATAGAGGGGACCCCCCCTTCTCTGTGGCAGCCCCTCAAATATTGGAAAACTGTTATGTCACCCTTAGTCCTTCTTTTCATTAAACTGGACATCCCCAATTCCTGCAACCGTTCCTTTTATGTTTTAGCCTTCGATCCCCTGACCATCTTTGTTGCTCTTCTCTGTACTCTTTCCAGAGTCTCAACGTCTTTTTTTACATCGTGGTGACCAAAACTGGACGCCGTATTGCAAGTGTGGCCTTACCAAGGCCTTATAAAGCAGTACTAACACTTTACGTGATCTTGATTCTATCCCTCTGTTCATGCAGCCTGGGACTGCGTTGGCCTTTTTGGCAGCTGCCGTACACGGCTGGCTCACACTTAAAAGTGTTTTCCTGTTCAAAATGAAGGTTTCGCTTCCTCTCTTCTGCTCTCCTCTGCCACAGCTGGATTGTGCTTTGAAGCCCATTAGGGTATCCCAAGATGGCACAGATCCCACAATCCAACAGATCACGCCAATCCTTTGGGTACAACTCGGGAGCTGACGCAAAGCATCTCTGGGCAAGATCCCAAAACCGTGTGCAAAAGGGCTGCGTGTGCTTTTGTGTGCCCTTTCCGCTCTCGTTCTCAGTGCGTGCCCTTGGAGAAACTGGCACCGTGTCAGATTCATTTTTCCCCCTTCTTCTTCTTCTTCTTCTTTTCTCCACCATTCCCCTGGAGCGAGGCCACGTGCAAAAAAAGACCGGCTGGTTGGCCTAGCATCAGCAGCTATGAAAATTAATGTGCCAAGGCTATCGTGCCAGCCTCGGTTTAATTTCTCCAATTGGGAAAAGCAGCTTCCGAAATATAAGGCATTCTGCAAGGTTCAGCACAATTTCTCAACGGCTCCGATGCTCCTTGGGGGTTTTCACTCCGACAGGAAAATCCCCCGTTCTCCTAGGGACGGAGAAACAATGGCCTCCCTCTCTCTCTCTCTCAGTTCAGACATGGGTGTCAGGGTGGAAACGCTGAGCAAAAAAAATGAGGTTAGTTTTGTTCCTGCCGGGGCTGAAAAACCTCTGCGGAAGGAATCCTGGACAGCTATTTCATTTTTTTTTCCTCCTGTTATCTAAATGGCTGTGTGATAAACAGATAATTTATTCTCCGGTGCAGGGAAAAACACACATCGTTTTCCCACGCTCCTTTGCATGCCACACCAAGCCTTGTGGCTTGTTTTAAGCCTAGTTGGTGGAATAAGCCTCAATGGCTGCGTCACTGCCCACATCCTAAGCTATGAATTGTGATTTACCAAGAAGTAGCCCCTCCTCCTCTCCCTCCTCCTCCTCTCCATAATCCTTAGTCACCTCTAGCCCTGATGCTGTTACCTAGTTGGGCCATGAAACGTCCACAAGAAAGTCACCAAGCTCAGAGAGTACCAAGGACCGCAGAGGTTTTGGGTGCTCCGTCACCGGAGGTCCTCAAGAAGAGACAGGACAACCATTTGCCTGCAACGGGTCTCTTGCTGGAGCAGTGGGTTGGACTAGAAGACCTCCAAGGTCCCATCCAGCTCTGTTCTTCTATGTTCTGTGATCTCCCTAGAGGCCTACGGGAAGGATAAAACCTCCATAAAAATCAAGAATATTACAGTTGTTCCGTCAGCCTTGTGATTCTTAATTTTTCTCTAATTTCAGGCCCAGGGTGCTGATATATATAAAAAAAGTCCCTTAGAAGTGTTTTAGGGAGATGGTAATGGAGCCGTATTAAAATAATTCAACCAGCGCTTTAATTTTAGCACCACCATCAAGATGAAATAATGGCTGTTTACCACTTCTGCCTTTCAGGTGACCTTCGCTGAGGCAGAAATTTGGAGGACGGGGAAGAGCAAAGCGCCCCTAATCTTGAGGATGCCTCGTTTCTTCACCCGTTACGGTTTTTGAGAAGGAGCGTGGCGCTGTCGAACTGAGGGCCCCTCTCCAGATAAAAAATTAAACATTTAAATCCGCCTCTCACTTTCTGCCTCTTCCCCATCATCCGATATGAACGACCCCATCGTCTGTTCAAATGAAGAGAGGCGACTGAGGACCCCTTCCAATTCCAGGCAGATGAAAGAGGATTTAGAGAACCACTCTTGGGTGGTGGTTAAAGCGTCAGGCTGGAAACTGGGAGACTGTGAGTTCTAGTCCTGCCTTATTGGGGGGGGGCTTTGGTCCTCCCTCTCTCTCAACAAGGACAAACACCTGGGGACAAATCCAGCAGGAAGACTTCAGAACAAGGATCCGGAAAGGAAACCCCTCCGAATCTTGTTCCATTCTGTTTCTCCTCTTCTTCCTCCTCCTCCTCCTCCTCCTCCTCCCCCCCCCCCAGCAATTTATTCCACTAACTCTTGGCTGCCCAACTGCAAAGATCTGGAGATGAATGGCTGCACTTTGGCTCCGTGTCTAAGTGCTTTGCATCTCGTTAAGGTGGCTTTGGTAATTAATAGCCCAGCGAATCCACTGGATTTGAGACTTTCCACCTGGGTTTTAGCTCCCTGTTTTGCAGTTCTCACACACACACACACACACACACACACACACACACACAGAGAAAGACATAGATAGACACACACAAGAGAAGAGGGATAAATGGCGTCTCATCCACCATCCTGGCAATCCATCAAGTCTCCAAAGGGAAGGGGCTTCCGTGCAAGGGGGGGGGGTATTGAGAAAAAGGGAGATATCATGAGGTTCTTACTACAGGGAGTCGACTTACTACCACAATTGAGCACCTCCTTCCCTCCTCCCTCCCCTTCCCTTTCTCCGTCCTTCCTTCCTTCCTTCCTTCCTTCCTTCCTTCCTTCCTTCCTTCCTTCCTTCCTTCCTCCCTCTTCCTCCTTTCCTTCCTCCCTCCAGTTTCCTTCCCCCTCCCTCCCTCCATTTTTCTTCCTTCCTTCCTTTTTTTCTTTCATCCCCTTCCTTCCCTCCTTCCTCCCTCCTAACTTCCGCCTAGAACTTGTGGCTGCTCCATCGCGGGAGATTTCCAAAGAAGAGACTGGCCAGCTTCCCTCCCAGCTCTGTTATTCTCTTCCATTTCTGATATCCGGTCACTCCCCCAAGGTCATTCTCACATACCACCACAGCTGGCAACTCAAGAGAGGCAGCGCCCACAAATGGTTGTCAACCCGCAAGGTTGCCAAGTCTCCCTGAGGCCTTTTTGAGATGGGAAATGACAAAATCCGGAGCTTTCTCCACCTCGGAGGGACGGAGATGGCCCTTCAGCCCCCACAGGGCAGGAACTGTTTCCAGGTTGTGCTGACAGGCTTTGGCAGGTGCCGGAGGAAAAGCCATTAAGCAAATGGCAGCAAGGTGTGTGTGTGTGTGTGTGTGTGTGTGTGTGTTTGTACATGCTGGCATGCATTCCAGCAATCAGCTCTCCCTTCTAAGGAGAGAATTTAAGGTAAGATTCCAGAGTCACCTTGTAGGGGAGATGAACAACATTAAAATGTAATAAAATAATAATAAATAAATAAAATAATACAAATAAAATAAAATTACAATACAATAATAAAATAAAATAATAAATAAATAAATAAAATAATAAATAAATAAAATAAAAATAAAAAATACAATACAATAAAATAAAAAATAAAATAATAAAAATAAAATAAAGCTTCTGAATTCTGATCGCGTGACCACGGAGGCTGCTGCGACAGTCGTGAGTGTGAAAAATGGTCCTAAGTCCCTTTTTTTCAGTGCCGTTGTAACTTTGGACGGTCACTAAGTGAACTGTCGCAAGAGGAGGACCATCTCTATTGGCACGGAATCATCGGTGGCTGGCTTTGCCTTCCAATCTGCAAATTCCTCCCCCTCTCCAGTTACCAAGGGGGCATTTTTGTGGGTTGCACGCGAGGGGGAGACCCTCTCTCCCCCCAGCCCCCCCCCCCCCCGGAAAACCCCTGGTAGAGAATTGCCGGCATTCATTCCGAAATCTGACAAGCAAAGACGGTGTGGAAACATCAAGGTCAGGAGACCAGCCGCGATTCTAGACAATCCGCACCTCTTAAAAACGGTGACAAATATGTTATTTAATTTTAATGAGCTTTTTTGCATCCCAAATCTAATTACAGCATTATCAAGTATTGCTTTGAACTGCAGGTGGCTGCTGTCGCTTGCGTGGCGGCTGCCACAAGCGGTTTTCTGTGAATGCTAATAACGGCTTAATTTTACTATATTTAAAGGGGGAAGAAGGAGGAGGAGGGGGAGAGAGAAGAACGCAGACTAACAGGGTGGGAAGGGACCTTGGAGGTCTTCTAGTCTAGCCCCCTGCTCAAGCAGGAGACCCTAGACCATTTCAATCAATCAATGTCAATCAATCAATCAATCAATCATTCAGAATAAGAGCTGTAAGGGACCTTGGAAGTCTTCTAGTCCAGCCCCCTGCTCAAACAGGAGACCCTAGACCATTTCAATCAATCAATGTCAATCAACCAACCAACCAATCAGAATAGAGCTCTAAGGGACCTTGGAGATCGTCTAGTCCAGCCCCCTGCTCAAGCAAGAGACCTGGCTCTATGTCTGTGGTAGGGAAGTGGTGGCTGCTCCATCACTGGAGGATTTCAAGAAGAGACTGGACAGCCGTTTGTCCAGAATGGTCTAGGGGGTGTCCTGCTTAGGGTTGGACTAGATGACCTCCAAGGTCCCTTCTAACTCTGTCATTCTATAATCCCAGTTCAATTAACCAGTGGGACTGCCTCCAGATGTTGTGGGTCTCCATCACTGGAGGTTTTTAAGAAGGGATCGGACAGCCACTTGTCTGAAACGGTCTAGGGTTTCCTGCTTGAGCAGGGGGTTGGACTAGAAGACCTCCGAGGTCCCAGCCCTAGGATTCTATGCTGTCAGAGAGGTAACGGGGAGGGGGCGAGAGTGTGTGTGTGAGAGAGACAAGGAATGGATGTTCGTCCATTCCAAAATGGTTGTGTACCACGGAGGTAGAACAACAGAAGTGACAGGCCAGCAGGAAAGAAACACGTTGAGGTCGTTTATTCCGAGAATCGGACAGCAAAAGCACGAAAGGAGAACGAAGGTGACACAATAACGGAAAGGAACAATGAAAAAAAAAAATGGACAGTTTGACTGAGTTGACGAGATCCTCTAAACTATTTAATGAAAAATTAAGGCTCAGAGATGTTTTGCAACGGGAGAAATCCTCGGAGAACAACAAACGGCGGGAGTAAAAAAAAAAAATAATAAAAATTTAAAATTAGCTGTATTCCCTTTTCGGCTCTCTTCAAGGCCTCAATTCCTGCCCACGTCGTCTTCTTCTTCATGTTGCTTTCTGCTTTTTTGTTGTCGTTGTTTTTGTTTCGCATAATGGTGCTTAGCCCCCAAAAGGGACTAGTGTGATAGTCTGACAGCCGCTTGCAAATCACTGGAAGATATTCAAGCGTTATTTGGTGCGGACTTTCAACCTGCCTCGGGGAGGATGCGCGTGTCCTCTTTTTTGCGGGATGTGCTAAAGAGGGGTCTGTAAGTGTGGAGTTGTGTGCTGTGTGTGTGTTTTTGCTGTTTGCAGACACGTCTCGCGCACAGCCCTGCGTAAAGAGCTGGAGTTTTCCAGTTAAGGCCCATTGAATTCCCACTGGCCTTCCTAGGTAATTCCGATTTTATGCCTGCATTCATTCATTCTTCAAAGCTGTAATGTGGCTTCCATTCAAGCCAAAGGGAATCCAGCAACTGCAGTTTGTCAGCCCTAATTTATGGCTCAAGCAGGTATCTTTGTTTGTTTGGGGGACGCTTTTCAAGGGTCATCTCATTCCAACAAGATCAAAGAACATAGAACATAGAATAAAAGAGCTGGAAGGGACCTTGGAGGTCCTCTAGTCCAACCCCCTGCTCAAGCAGGAGACCCTAGACCAGCGGTAGGCAACCTTGGCTCTTTTATGACTCATGGAGTCCACGAGTCATAAAAGAGCCAAGGTTGCCTACCCCTGCCCTAGACCACTTCAACCAATCACTCAATCAGTGGAAGGGACCTTGGAGGTCTTCTAGTCCAACCCCCAGAAAGGATCCTGCTGTGGATCGCGGACTCAGCTGGGAAAGGATTTATACGGAGAGTCTGGCTTTAATAATATCATGGCTCTCTGCAAGGTGAAAGCAAAAGGGATAATGCCATGCTCCTAGATTACTTTCCAATCTTCCTGGTATTTATTTTTATATATATATTAATTAGTTATACTGAGTTTCAAGATGTGATTAGAGATTTCTAAGCGGCCTTCTTATTCCTGCTTTCTAATGTAGGTTCCTCTCTCCCCCAGACCCAGGGGGTCACGCTTGGTCTGCTGACCTGGATGCGGCCTTTCATGACCCAGAATATAGAAGAACAGAGCTGGAAGGGACCTTGGAGATCATCTAGTCCAACCCCCTGCTCAAACAGGAAACCTTCAACCATCCCAGACAAAGGACTATCCAGTCTCTTCTTGATGGAGCATTCACCGCTTCTTGAGGCAGGCTGTTCCACTGGTTAATCGTCCTCGGTGTCAGGAAGTTTCTCCTTAGCCCTAGGTTGCTTCTCTCTTTGGTTAGTTAGTTTCCATCTGTCCTTTCTTCTCCGGCCCTCAGGTGCTTT